TATAGGAAACTGTTGGTAGTAAAAACCAAAATAAGTTTTGTATTATAGCTCATATCGTTTATAGTAAACTCAGTCGGACATCCAAACATAATGAAACCTGCTCTAGTTGCAGCACATGTTACATCCGTCCTTAAAGTATTAAATAAGTCAACAAAACCTGTTGGTGGTATATCTGAGTAAGTATCTTCAAAGGAGTATTTTTTACCATTCACAACAATAAAATCTTCTGGTGTCAAAAGAGCAAAACAGGCTTTAGTCGTCATCGTGTTTAAGGTCAGTTTACAATATCGTCCTTGAGGACTTTGTAAGTTTGTTGTTATAGAATTATATGACTCAGGGTTTTAGTCGTAATAGTATAAACCATTATATCTTCTGCCATTTACTTAGCAAATAAATTTTAATGAAATGTTGTGGTCGTCAAATATTTTTATGACGTCTGGGAAACTATATTTAAGTTCAACGTTTCACCTCCTTTCATAACGTATATCTTGTCAATGACATTATATGAAACACCACAGCAAGCAATGTCGGGTTCTATTTCTTTGATGTTTATATCGTCTGCCTCTGTCAAAAGTTTCAATAGTTCTTTCAAAATTTCATGAGGTGCGATGACATATGAGTTCACTTTTACAGGGTTGTGTTCGACCAAGTTTAACATTATACCTAAAGCTTGACAAATCTTCTCCTGAGTTTTGAAGTTTGTCTTTCAGTTGTTGGTAGTCGTTTCGAATATCTGCAACAGAACTTAAGTCTCTGCTAACTTCAGGTATGTTGGTTCTTTTACAGGAAACTATTGTTATACCATCTTGGTCTTCGTATGGTTTCCCCATTTCAACATCTCTTTCTTTGACATTGACAATAACACTTTGACTGTTTGTTTGAGTTGGTGAATTTAACTTCACATCTGCCACCGCCATTAAACCTTTTGAAACACTTACGCTTCTATTTTTCGGAAATGACATTTTACTTAGAATAAAAAGATGGACGTATTCGAGTATCTCTTGAATTGAAGCAGAACAAAGTTTACACACACAAACAATACAAAACATTGACAGAATAGTTCTTTACACAAACAATGGAAAATGTTATAGAATAGCAGTCTTTGCTGAACCAAAATATTTTCATAAAGCAAAGAAAGTTGGTATAACCGAGATGGTGAAAGTTCTTGAAGCAGACAAAATATAACAACAAAACTACAGATATTTCTAAAGGTAAGTTTATAATACAATATTATGTCAAAACTGGCGTACTGTCAATATTTGACGGAGAGAAGTCAGTTCAAGAACAACTTACTGACCTGCTGCCAAAATCTGCTCGATGGAAGCTGTCGTTATGCCAATCTGAGGAGCCCCAGCAGGTTTCATCGAACGAATCTTCAAAAGAGCATCTTCCGTGAAAAGTGCTATTGGTTTTGTAAACTTCTTGCTCTCAGTTCATCTGGACCGTCTCTGTCACCAGTATATTGTATTTGAACAGTACCAACAGTTGAAATACCACCCATAAAGTCTTCTGAGTCAGCAAATGGAATGCCAAGCCAAAAGTTTGAACGGTCTCCATTTGTATATTGAGTTTTTTTGACCTCCTGTATGAGTCCATACTTTCACATATGGCATAATAGAACTTTGCATTTCAGGTTAATGGTTGTTGTGAAGTTGTTGTTAAAGTTCATAGCATCTAATGTCAAGTTGTATGACCTCATATCCTCAACTGTAGAATATTCTTCTCTTGGATAGTATTTGCCATCTATGTTTATATGATATTTAATACCAGGGTTGTAGAAACAAGAATAGTCATTTATAGTTCGTCTGAACAGTACAAACATAGTATCTGCATGTTTCATTGCAGTTGTTAAAGCAATATCTGTTCTTGCACCTGGGTCAGCACTTTGGTTTCCAACTTCACCTGCAAAGTCTTTGACAGATATTTGGTGTATAGGGAACATAAGTGGAACTGCAATATATTTGGCAGCTAAAGCATTTGAAATATCTGGGTCCAAAATATAGACTGCAAGTCTGCTTTCTATTCTCTTGCATTCAAATTTTTCGCATGTGAACTTAACTGGGTCCCAAGCATCTCCAGCAGCATTGAAATAATAGTTACTTCAGTGTTGAGGTTTGAGAAACCAAAGTCTAAGTCAACTTTGTTTTTGCAAAAGTCGGCGAATGACATTTATTTGTTCCCACTACTTCTGTAAGAGTGAATGGGTCTTGTGTTGGTGCAATGACTAAGTTATTTTGCTTGGAGTAAGTTCGATAGAAATTTTTCCTGCCCAGTTGGCAAGTATCTTAAAAACCTGAAAGATGGGAAAGATGACAAAGGAACTCTAAGTTTCAGTTTTACTTTGGTTACTGCTGCTGCAGTTTGTCCAGAAAGGTCAACATAAACTCCTGGAACGTTAGGGTCAAGTCTTCTTATTTTCTCAATAGTTGCATACTGGTCTGTTTGTTCTCTAGCTTGTGGTTGTACTGAGTTTCTTAAAGCGAACCATTCATTAGTTTGCCCATGTTACTGTTTGAACTAAGTCAGAGTTAGAATATATCTTATATCCATAAAAACTTCTGGAGCATATTGGTATCCGACATAGAAAATTCCATTGCAACCTTTCTTGTCAGACAACTTGGCAGAAGGTTTTATTTCAATGTCTTGTTCCACGTATAAGAAAGAAGTTGTCAATAGAAATTATATGAAACCTGTCGCAAGCAATATCTACTGTTGTTGAAGAACCTTCTCCAAACTCACCTACATTTCCATAAGAAACAGCAGTTGTATATTCGTAAGTTCCAGGAACTATTTCTGACCTTCTAATGGCATTGTCGCATTCGTTATACCATTCGGAAACATTTCCATTCATAGCATCCAAAACTGTTGGCGTTATATTCTGAGCGGCGTACATTTCATATGGGTAAAAATATAGAATAGTTGGGTTTATGTGTCATAATAGAACCCACGTGGACCAAGCTTTACTTTCTTCCTGACTGAGTTTTTAACTCTTCTTTTTCCTTCATTGCCCTCTGCTTCAAGTTTTGCATCTTGCATTATGTTCATCTAGTATGTTGCAAAATTTCCCATGTCCTTTTTGCCTTTTGCTCTGGTCGGCCCATCTCAGTAACCTATATCCTAGAAGAGTTTGTCATAGTCTGTATTTGAGTCTTCGCGTATTGTTTGCATGACTCTTTCCTGAGTTTCTGGTTCAAGCTCTTCAAACAGTGCCTGTCCATATGGAATATGCTCGTTTCCAAATATATGTTTTTGTAGCCATTCTGGTTTTCTTTCCATTTACCAACTATATCTTTGTGAATGGGAAAGCTTTTACCCAATGTTTTCAGTCTTGCGTCGTTTATTTCTGTAGTTGGTTTATTTTGTCAAGGAACATGTTTTTCAATACTAACATTTCATTTGGTACTGTCCATTTGAGTTTTCTTAAATATTCATCCCTTCTCAGTCATTGTCTGCAAAGTAATTTTTATGACATTTTGTAAACTTTCATTTGCAAGGTCATGTACAATAGGTTCTCTTCCTTCGCTCTCCCTAACTTTCTTTCTAAACTCTTCACCAAATATACCATCTCTATGTTCTGTGTAGTTCTTTGAGATAAATGTTCTAGAACGTCAGGTGTTATATTTCCATCAGCCATGTTCATTTCATACTGGTCCAAAATATCTGCATGTTTCATATCTTTCAATGGCATTAAAGCCGCGCTTAAAAATACCAGCTATGTCTCGTTCACCATTGACTTCCATTGCGTCTACAACTCTTGGAATTGTGGTTGTAAGTTTATGAACCACCTATCTGGATTAGCTTTATGACCCCATCTCATTGTAGTTCCATCGTCTGCAGAGAAACAAAAGTAGGTTTGTTTCCATCTTGGTAGGTTCTGAATGAACTTTAAACAATGTTTCATTTCTATATGTTTTCTTGAAATTTAACCTTTTATCTTCACCGAGTTCATCCGAAGAATTGAAACGTTAAATGCTCGTAAGTAAAAAGGGTTGATTTGTGTACATTTTTTTTCAGTTCTTCCATTCTATGCTGGATATTTTCATCTGGTGCTGGAGTCTTTTGTATGTCGGCAAACATTTTTCGATATTCTTCTACTATGTCAGCCGAATTTTTTTTAGACTCTTGGAAATATTCCATATTCTCCGCATACTCTTGTTGAGGGTCAAGATTTTTCGGCTGTTCCAAATCTTCATCTAGTTCTGTGAAGTTAGTTTCCAAAGGAGTGACTTGTTCGTTTCCTTCAGGCTCTTCTAGCTGTTGTTGCTGAACTATTTCTTCCATGTCTGGTTGTATCTGAACTATTTCTTCCTGTGGAGTTTCTTGTACCTCATCTGCTGGCATTTCATATATTCCGAGACCGTTTTCAACAATTTCCCTATCTACGTCATCCGCATTCATAAGCTTTTGTTCTTTCGTTCCGTCTCTATTTTTTACGCGTTTCATGACGAAAGTTGAATTGTCATTTAGCTCTGACATCAAATATCTCGGAGTAAATTCATCCATGTCATTTGGATGATATGCTATTAAATCATATCCCTTAGCGAGCTTGTATTTTCCAGGTTTGAGATTATATCCGTTTTGGTGCTGAGCCATAAAGCTAAATAGGTTCGGGTCAGTATTTCCATCCTTGAACTTTCCAATAGCTTCTTTATATCTGTCACTAAAGTCAACAGTATCTGGGAAACCACACTCTTCTTTAAGCATTTTTAAGAATTCTTGGTTTCCTTGTTCTCTACTTCTTTTATGTCCTTGCTCTGTTTGTGGTTGTTGTTGTGCAGGGTTTTGAACTGTTGGTTGTGCTGGATTTTGAACTGTTGGTTGTTGTGTTGGTTGTTGTTGTTGTTGTTGTGCAGGGTTTTGAACTGTTGGTTGCTGTGCTGGTTGTGGAGGTGGTTGTTGTGTTGGTTTTGGTGCATGCCTGTGTCTATGTCCATGTGACGATGTAAATGTTTTAGGTAGTCCTGGTGCAGGTGCTTCTCTTGGAGGGTTTGGTGGTATATAAGTTCCACCAGCTGGCACATATGTTCCATCTGCAGCGTAATGTCCTACCTGACTTTTCGTTTTTAAGAAAGCATTTACTAGGTCTGTTTTGGTCTGTTGTAACTCTTTTTCTTGACTTTTCACAACAGTTGCTCTAACGGCGTCATAGGCACTTTGAACTGCCTGTCTCGTTGCTGCATCTGTTATTTTCGTCATATTTTGTGCTACTTCTTTTAACTCTTTGTCGAAACCTTCAGACTTCAGTTTCTTTCCAGATGAGAAGTCGTTCACTAGTTTCACCTTACTATGAAGAGCTTCGAAGGCGTTCTTAAAGTCAGCATTTGTTAAAGCTTCATTTGAACTGTCTTCATCCGCTTGTATTTTTGTCCTTATTGACCCTATGAGTTGGGCTGCTTTAGCGTTGGCTTGGGCATCTAACCAGTCATTGTTAGCTTTTATATATTCTGCGCTTTTCATTGCCTTTTGCATAGCCGCGTCGTTATTTTTACTTTCTTGTGCTAAGTTTTCATACTGTACGGTTTGGTTTTGCAACTGTAAAAGTTTTTCTGCCTTTACATTTGCTTCAACTTCCTTTTTATACTCATCGCTATCCATATATGTCTTCAGGGCTTTTTGTTTTATCTCTTCATCTTTCAGTATTTTATATTGAGTAGTATGGTTTTTCAAATTTATGACATCTTGTTCCATTTTTGCTACTTCTGCTGCTTTTTCTGACACTTTTTTCGCATATTCCTCTGTACTTAGTTCTTTCAGTTGTTCTTCTTTCTTCTTTTTCTCTACGTTTAACTCATTGAGTTTCTTTGTGTGTCTGTCATATTCTAGTTTCTTTTCGTTTTCACTTATTTGCTTCTGTATGTCTATGTTTGACTTTTTGACATCTGTTATTTGATTTTTGAGTGAACTCAAATTCATTTGACTTTGAGGGTTATAGGCTGTTCCGTCTGCAGCTCCACCATAGCCTGCCATTTTCGCTAAAAGTGCCGCTCTTAACCTCCACTCTGTGCACCAACAACTCGGTTTAAAAGCATAGGATTGCTTGACATTTGTTGCAACATAGTGGGGTCATTCAGCATTTGTTGTTGCAACTGTTGTTGTGGTGTTAGTCTTACTATTGGATGTTTCAATGCTCTCTTCCTCTTACGTATATTCTTACGTAGCTTACGTGGCATTTTAAGTGAAGTTAAAAAGCGGTTTTTGACAGATGTTTATTGTGACTTCTTCGTAAAGACTTTGTTAAGACTTCTTCGTAAAGACTTTGTTAAGACTTCTTCGTAAATGACCAAAAATATATTTTAGGTGAAGAGGTGAGATTTCACCTCTTTTTTCACCTCATTTCTCACCTCTTGAATTTTCATGAATTTCTTCGTAAAGACTTTGTTAAGACTTCTTCATCTAATTTCTCATGAACTTTCTTGTCTATGTTTTGTCAAGATTTCATCGTAAAGACTTTGTTGAGATTTCTTCGTAAATGACCCTAGTAGTATATTTTTGGTGTAAATTTCATGAAAATTCAAGAGGGTGAAAAATTAGGTGAAAAAACAGGTGAAATCTCACCTCTTCACCTAAACATTATTTTTGGTGTAAAATTCATGAAAATTCAAGAGGGTGAAAAATTAGGTGAAAAAACAGGTGAAATCTCACCTCTTCACCTAAAATATATTTTTGGTGTAAATTTCATGAAAATTCAAGAGGTGAGAAATGAGGTGAAAAAACAGGTGAAATCTCACCTCTTCACCTAAAATATATTTTTGTCTGATTTTACGAAGAAGTCTTGACAAAACATTTACGAAGAAGAAGTCTTGACAAAACATTTACGAAGAAGTCTTGACAAAACATTTACGAAGAAGAAGTCTTGACAAAACATTTACGAAGAAGTCTTGACAAAACATTTACGAAGAAGTCTTGACAAAACATTTACGAAGAAGTCTTGACAAAACATTTACGAAGAAGTCTTGACAAAACATGAAAACATATATAATTTGTGAAAAGTGAAACATTATATAATGTTTTCGACCAAGAAGACTAACAATTTTCCGAATAAAAACTTCATTTATACTAAACATCTTCGGGGCTAGAAGGCACGAAGTGCCTGGAAGCCCCACTACCTTTTTTTTTTTTTTTTTTTTTTTTTTTTTTTTTTTTTTTTAATTTAAAATAATAAAGAAAGCCGCGAGCGAAGCGATCGGCTTAGTTCGAAGATTTTGATTCAAATCTTTGCTGATCTGTAATTCGCGGAAGTGTTGTGCATGAAAAATAGCGTGACTTCACTTTTGACAAAAGTGACACTATTTCTGATGGTTTTGTCATTTATTTGTCAGATTTATAAATGGATAATAATGCTGTAAATCAGATATTAATTAAAAATATTTAAGATTTATGTTCGAATTGAAAAGCAAAATGATATTTTTTTAATTGAAAAACGTTAATATCTGATATTTTGAAGTTTTTAATATTTGTTAGTATCTTAAATTATTGAATGCATACGTTTTTTATGTTCTCAATTTAAAAAAAAATTGTGAAGAATTTAGTTTTTTGGAGATGGATGTTTAATATTTGTGAGTGAGAATGCAAGCAGGAGTTTGGTACTTTAAGGCTAGGTTGAGATAGATTTCCCATTATATTATCTGTGAATATATTGTTTGAAAATTTAAGATATAAAAATATATTATCAAAAAATTTTATATTTTTAAATACAATAGGGTGGAAATATAGTACGATGAGATAGCAATGATATATTTTATAATGGGAGGTAATCTGAAGATAAGTAGCAAATTTTATGCGATTTTGATTGGGAGTTGGAGGGTGTGAGTACTATAGCATGTAATAGTATCTCACACCCTCCAATTCTTCCTATGGTGCCGAAAAATTTTTGGTGAAATGCGACGACATTTCACCAAAAAATTTTCGGCGCCATATAGAGAACTATAGTCTGCGAGGTACTGATTCTATCTATGTACCTCACAGACCATAGTTCTCAGCCAAAATGTCAAAAATTTCGGAAATTCGAAATAATTTTTTTTGAGAAAAAATTAACCGTTTAACATAATATTTATAATATTGCTTATTCAATTAGACAAATTAAAAATTATATGTTTTCTTTTTATTTTTTCAATTAAATTATTAGCTGACTCGAATTTGTATAAGTAGTAGTAGGGTAGGATGGGTTTTGTGACATTTTTTGTAAACGTAAGAATTCATACAATATTGAACGATTTTGTATCATTATTTTTAACATTAATTTTAAACATAATTTATTTTTTATTCTTACATAAATGACCCAACAAGTAAAACCAGATAAAATAGATTATCGAATTTTAGAGGATGGTGTTATCATTTGGAGGGGGGCACAAACTTGCCCAGTGAGGTGAAGTGAAAAGTGACGGGTTTACATGTCAGAAATGTAAAGTATCAGATTTGAAACAAAAAATGGATGAATTTATTATTATATGATAGAGAGATTTGGCAAGTTACTATCAAATTTGTAAGTAAGGGGAAAAAAGTAAGAAAGAAAAAAATTTTTAAAAATAAAAAGCCACTCGCTTCGCTCGCGGTTGACAAAAAGAACAAATTCGAAAAATAATTGTATGAAATTACGAAACTAAGCCACTCGCTTCGCTCGCGGCTTAAGAAAAGAACAGATTCGAAAAAAGGTTGTATGAAATTACGAAACTAAGCCCCTCGCTTCGCTCGCGGCTGACGAAAAGAACAGATTTGAAAAAAGATTGTACGAAACTACGAAACTAAGCCGCGAGCGAAGCGAGCGGCTTAAGTAAACAACATATTTCAGATTATCGATACTAAAAATTTTTTTATTTTATTACTTTTTTTTTGCATTTTTTTAAGGGTGCACACGAGAGGATCATGTAAACTTCAGAATTTAGAACCTTATTTTAGGCATTATCTTGGCTACCTATTTCGGCTCGAAAAGCAAAAAATATCAAAAAATACAACTTGACTCCATTATGACCCTTTCATGGAGGTAGTTTTTATCCGCTAGTATTTTCCCTTTGAATCTCTTTACAATTCGAAATCAAATTCAAATCTCAGTAGAAGAAAGGAAGAATCGACTTACTACGGTTGTAATACGAATAAATACATATATTTAATTATTTTTATTTACATAATAATTGTTTGAAGCTCATATTCCATCAAATTTTTAAATAAAAACATTAAAATATTGAAAATGTTCATATATTTTAATAGGGTTTTGGCACTTTATTGAGGAATTACTACATACATAGTCGAACTGAACTTGATATTTTGAAATTTAAATTATTTATCAAAATTAAAATTTAACTTGAAATTTATAATTATTTAAAAAAAAAAAAAAAAAAAAAAGGTAGTGGGGCTTCCAGGGGCTGCGCCCCTTCTAGCCCCGAAGATGTTTAGTATAAATGAAGTTTTTATTCGGAAAATTGTTAGTCTTCTGGTGTGAATTCGGAGGACTCTTCTTGGATAGAGTTTTGTATTTCCTCCTCCTCTTCTTCTTCCTCCATTGCTTCTGGGAAGAAGCCTTCTTCTGGGTCGAAAACATTATATAATGTGTAATTGAATGACACATTATATCTTTCTTTGCGTTCGCTCCTGACAAAGAACTTAGTTCCAGGAATACAGAAGACTTCTGTGCGTTGGAAAAGCTGATGTCCTGGAACGAATTTGGCAATTAGAGACTTCTTTTTTCCGAATTGTTCAGGAGTTTCCATGACGACAGTAACAACATCTCCATCTGCGAGGTCTTGTTGTTGTTCGGAAAGGTAAAGAGCAATGATATGAATGGTTGCTGCGTTGAATTCGAGAAAGTCGAATTCAAATTGTGTTGTCGTATAACATTCAAACCATTTTGTACAGTTGTCTCCGAACTCGTCAACGTATTCATCTTCGTCATATCCGTAACTAAAGACTTGGAATTCAGCAATTCTCTTGTCGAATGACCGTTGCATGTAACGAGGAAGATTTTGACGAACTTGGTATAAAGTTCTCAACATTATAAGCTTAGTAAATGTTGGAAAATACTGAACTAAGACATCGCTAAGCTCAATTGGATTTGGAATTGTCTTAGTAAGTTCAATTGAACTAGCAATTGCTTTGTTCAGAACTTCACAGAACTGAGTATTGTATGTAGCGTCTGGTTGTGTGTTTTCTTCGGCGTCTTTGAGATATTTAGAGCAAATTTGTTGAAGAATTTCTCTTAATTCGTTGTTAGATTTTTTGGTGGTTATTCTAACCGCTGTGCCGGTTCTTGGAGGTTGTGGGGCTTTGGCTTTGGTTAGCGGTTGAGAATTGTTAATGTTTGAATTGTGGTTAACAGCGTTGGCTTCCATTAGACAAAAATAAACTGTTTTTTCAAATAAGAGTTTGAGATGAACCGTTTTCGTCAACGGAGACTCCCTCTATTTTTTTATTTTATTTAATAGTTACCGTTGGAAAACCGTTCCATCTCAAATATTGAATGAACTATAAACGTTTTTTGTTTTCTATATATACTTTTTTGTCCAACGGTAAAACTTTTTACACAACGGTTTTTGAGAGTCGTCGCTGTTGACTTTTTTGTAGAGCACTCAAAATAGTATAACTTTGTCCGGACAAATAAGGGTCTATCGTCGCTACAGGAAAAGTTACGGGCGTTCCAAGGAAGTATACTTTGAGAAGCCTTTCCCCCTTATAGAATGAGATAGGACGGTTATTTTACAAAACTGACAACACTTTGACCGAGTAGTTTTTTGTGCTGAACAAAAAGTGTCATATAAACATCTGTCAAAAACCGTTTTTTACTTCACTTAAAATGCCACGTAAGCTACGTAAGAATATACGTAGAGGAAGAGAGCATTGAAACATCCAATAGTAAAACTGACACCACAACAACAGTTGCAACAACAAATGATGAATGACCCCACTATGTTGCAACAAATGTCAAGCAACCCTATGCTTTTTAAACCGAGTTATTGGTGCACAGAGTGGAGGTTTAA